TAAGAATGTGGTTGTATTGTGCGAGTGGATGATTTTAAGGGAGGTGAGGTATATGAGTGTGTAGGCAAAACAGAATCAGAAAATGGGTCAGTGGTAGATGGTAAATGTTTAAATGGAAATTCGATTTCATGGAAAATAACATCTCTTGAGATAAAAGCCCGGTTTGTGGTCATATCAAGAACCTTATAAGCCTTGTATCTTGGGGGATAGCCAAGAAACACCACTGGAATGGCTCTTGTAGAAAATTTATGCCGATCACGAGGCAATGTTGAGGCAAAATAGAGACAGCCAAACGTACGAAGATGAGTGTATGAAGGTGGTTTACCCATCAAGACTTCAAATGGAGACTTGTCATCTAGGAGTGTGGTTGGCAACCTGTTAATCAAATAAGTAGTTGTAAGTACAAAATCTATCCAGTAATTTAATGGAACTTTTGACTTGAAGAACAAGGATCGAGCAACATTCAGCAAATGTTGATGTTTCCGTTCGACAACCGCATTTTGCTGAGGTCTATCCACGTAAGAGTGTTGATAAATAATCCCTTTCTGTTTGAATAACTCAGGGAAATTAAACTCAAGAGCATTATCTGAGCGTACACTCTTAATTGTACTCTGAAATTGGGTTGCAATCATGGTGCAAAACTCAGGAAAAATACGCAAAACATCAGACTTAGCATGGAGAAAATACACCCAAGTGTGCCTGCTGCAATCATCAACAATGGTCAAGAAAAAACGGAATCCATCAACAGAAACAGTGGAAAAGGGGCCCCAAATATCCAGATGAACCAAATCAAAAGGAAAATCAGCAATATTATTATTTGAAGTAAAGGGCAAACGCCTCTGTTTGGACAAAGGACAAACATGACATGATTCAGACGTATCTGAGATAGAAGATAATCCTAAAACATTTTTCAAAAATTGTAAACGTGAAAAAGAAGGGTGACCAAGACGTTGGTGCCAAAGAGTAGAACCATCGATTGACAAAACATGAGTTGTATCACTAAGAGGTAGTGCATGCAACACATATAAATTCCCTTGACGTTCAGCAGTCCCAATCTTGTGTCCCGTGATAGGATCCTGTAGAATACAAGACGAAGAAGAGAATGAAATATTAAGTGGAAAACAAGATGTTAAAGAGCTAATTGACAGGAGGTTATATTGAAACTCACGAACAAATAAAACGTGGTGTGTGAAGAGCATTTGGATGTTAAAGAGCATAAAATGAGGTGATAGACAGACAGACCCTATACGAAGGACAGGAATGGATGTACCATTTGGAATATTTACACAAAAATCATGAAGAGGACGAGATGAACGGAAAGAACCCAGGTCACAACAAACGTGGTGTGTTGCCCCTGTGTCCAAGATCTAAGAAGAAAAGGAAAGATACGAAGACTTACCTGACACATGAGCAACTGAGGATACTGACGCAAAATTGTTAGATCCGGACTCGACGGTAGTGTGTGATGAGGAAGACGATTTAGACGACTTGGAAGACGGTGACGAAGACGAACGAAGGAGAGCAAGTAATTGGGATACTTGGCTTGGGCTCAGAGGATGGTTTGGGCTGGTTGGCCCAATAGGATTGACATGCCCATCAGTGGACACAACAACTGTGGAGTTATGGGCTGAGCTTGACCCAGATGGATACTGTTTTCCCTTGAAACCGGGTGGATACCCATGAATCTGAAAGCATTTCTCAATAGTATGTCCATTCATGTTGCAATGAGTGCAATAAGGTCGCCGTTGAGGTTGTCTGAAGCTGCCTGGATTTCCTTGAGAAGCATTCACAATCGAATCGCTGGAAGGGAAACTGGTTTGAATGTGTCGTTGACGTTCTTCTTGAATAACCAGAGCAAAAATCCTGCCAAGAGAGGGAAAAGGTTCCATTAGTAGGATTTGTGCTCGGGTAAAAGAAAATAAATCATTCAGACCCATGAGAAATTGCAGCGATCGTTCCTGTTCACGAAAAGAATTCCAGGATTTCATACCTCCACAGTTACAAGTAGGAATCGGTTCAAACTCCTTCAATTCGTCCCATAGAATCTTTAGACGAGATTTGAGATTTCAACTGAAAAATCCGTGGACCATTTCCCTGTTGAAAACGTTCTTTCAGATCGAGCCATATACTTGCAGCAGAGGGTGTGTAAAGAAGACTATCTGCAATCTCACGCACCACTGAATTTAGTAACCAAGAAGTCACCATACTGTTGCATCGAGTCCAGTAAGAAAGAAGCAAATCATCCGATTCAGGTTGGGGAATGGTGCCATCAACGAACTGTGCTTTATTTTTGGCAATAAGTGCCATAAACATGGCCCTACTCCAAGTATGGTAGTTGGTCCCATTGAGAAGATGAGTGACAAGTACCAGACCAAGATGATCAGCACTATGGAGATAATAGGGGCTTGAGGTGTCTTCAATGGGAGAGGAAGAAGCACCTCCACCAGTTGATTTGTTAGTCGTACCATTGACCATGGCAGAAGGGTGTCAGAGAACGCAAGGAAGAAACCATATTGCTATGGATACCATATTACAGATAAGGAATGAAAAAGAAAATATTCTCATTAATTGAGTTGCAGTACAAAAAAAGGATAATATATATACCAAGAGGAATCACATTCAGCATCAGGATTGCTCTCACCTGTCCGTAAAAGAAGGAAAAAATATAACAAATTCTAACAAACTTTAAAACCAATAAAAATCAGAAAAGTAACAAACTATATCAGGTAAGATACAATTACTGATATGACCCTAAACAAAGTGAGTCACTTTTTAACTCTAATAGGTCTAACTCAAATCAATATTAATTTGATATAAGTTGGGCAACTATATTGTAAAATGTACTTTGTATGAAAGTAATTGTAGGAGTAATACTTAACTAAAATTACTAAAAAAAAAAAAGTTGATCTATATACCTCTTCCCAATCAATTTGTACTCAATCATTTCATGGGTTTATTATATGCATGTTATCATGCCTATTGCCTCTCGTGATTATTGATTTATTTTGTGTTACATTATTCATGCTGCTTACAATAACAACTAGCTAGGATCACAATCATTATTTCTCACGTGGCATTTCATGGGCCGTCAAATAGAACCCAAAAACACGCATGATGCTTCTTGCGGTTACAGGGACAAGAAAAGAGAGAGAAAAGAGGCATAGCCTTTAGTTGTCATTACTCTATTCTTGAATTCACCTAACCAAACCTCCCCCACCTCAGTGCTTATTTTATCTTTTTGGAATTATGTCATTAAGGTTTCTTCTATAACTTACTTGAATTAAATGTTTCTTGTCAATTGCCTAATAAAGCCCTTGTTCTTTCTTTAAAAGCATTCTCCAAACAAAGCTCGTGACCAGTTTGATTTAAGTAACTAAAGGGCTTTTGCAATGATAGAAATTTGAACTTGTTAAAAAAAAAATAAAAAAATAAAAAAAAATAAAAGAAGAAGAAGAAGGAATACTTGTAAGCAAGAACAACTTCATTTTTTCAAACGGGATTTGAGTATGAAAAAAAATCGTGTAAGCAAAAAAAAGGTATAAACAGACACAGATAATTCCATAACGATTCCGTGAGTATTTCGGGAAGTTAAAGTGAACCCAAAATTGGCTAGTAACTGGTCTTCGATGACTACCTCGTCTTGCAGCAAAACGGTGTGATTGGCTTATGCGTTAAAGTGGGAGAAAATATTAATGATTGCCAGTTAATTATATGCTTTTGCATATTCTGATTCCATATTGTCACACGGCTCTTGCATATTGGGAAAAATGAAAAGCAAAAGCAAAAAGAAATCATATTCGTACAGAGTGGACGACTCAATGAACGGTAATAATGCCTCGGTCTTAATAACCTTTTTTCTTGAAAGAGAAGCGTATTAGGTGATATTTTTGTTTATGATTTGTATTGTATTGTAGCGCTTGTATTGGTCATTATAATATAATAGTTATTAATTTGTGTTAGTGGCCTTTCTTTCGATGACTTTTTTTATAAATACTTTAATTAATTCATTGCTTCACGATTAATTTTGACTCAAAACATATTTCAGAATTAATGTTTTAAATCATTCTCAAAGATATTATTAAAAAAAATTGAATATATATTTTTACTCAACTCTAACGCTAACTACCATTCTTTTGGATACATTTGATTAGCCTAACAGTAAGCTTTTTTCAGACCAACTTGCACGAGATAGCGTACTTGACAATATGCATATGAAAAGTGGTTTTAAAGAGAGACGGAATTCCTATCTTCGGTCCCCGAATTCAAAACAGCCTTTGTCAAACAACAAATCTTTTTTGCATTTTCATTTCCCTTGTACTGCACTTAGATTAGATTGTAAAAATAAGTTAATATAAAAAAATTAACGTACAAATATAGAAATTTTTTTGGATCCTATATTTACTAAAATTTATTTTTTTAGTATCACTTATAGAGTCTTTTTGGAAAGCTACGAACTCACCTCAAATTCAAATTTATTTATTCCAAAAGCAACTGTTGAGTGGTGATTTGGATCATAATTTATAATATTGAAGTTGGATTGGTTTGAAAAATTAAAATTAAATTTGCAACCATTTGAACTAACTCGGTATTTTTCCTTAACTTTTATTTAATTTTCTCTTCATATTTTACTTAATTTTAGAGATGTTTACTTTAACTTATATATTTTACTTACCGATTTTACATAACTCGGATAGTTTTTACTTCATTCAACTGTGCGAAGTAATGTATGTTTATTTTAATTTTTATATGTACTTCGTTCCCTAATTAAGTCTTGACATACTACCATGCTTTATTTCCTAATTATTAAAAGATGCTAAATAGTAAATAGACTAACGAACATATAATGATTATACTATAACTCTATAAACAACCGATTCCAAATAAAGTTAACATATTATTCAATAATTTATAAAACATTTTTTTTTTCCCACAAATCAGAAACCAAAACTTGTATATAAACCCACTTCTTCTCACACCCTATCTCTGTTCCGTGCGTTACTACTTCGCTTTTCTCTGCAAAGCCATGGAACCGTCATTGCAACATCCACCACAACCGCCACCTCCTCCTCCGCCGCGCTCCGCCACCATTCTCGGAAAGTACCAACTGACCCGGCTCCTCGGCCGCGGCAGCTTCGCCAAGGTCTACCAAGCCCGCTCCCTAATCGACGGCGCCACCGTCGCCGTCAAGATCATCGACAAGTCAAAGACCGTCGACGCTGCCATGGAGCCCCGAATCATCCGCGAGATCGACGCCATGCGCCGCCTCCACCACCACCCTAACATCCTCAGAATCCAGGAGGTCATGGCCACAAAGACCAAGATCCACCTCGTCGTCGAGTTCGCCGCCGGCGGCGAGCTCTTCTCCAAAATCTCACGCCGCGGCCGTCTTCCAGAGGCCACGGCGCGCCGCTACTTTCAGCAGCTCGTCTCCGCGCTCCGCTTCTGCCACCGCAACGGCGTGGCCCACCGCGACCTCAAGCCGCAGAATCTCCTCCTCGACGCCGACGGCAACCTCAAGGTCTCTGACTTTGGGCTCTCCGCGCTGCCGGAGCATCACCAGGACGGCCTTCTCCACACCGCCTGTGGCACGCCGGCGTACACTGCGCCGGAGATTCTCCGCCGTAGCGGCGGCTACGACGGGTCCAAAGCGGACGCGTGGTCGTGCGGCCTCATTCTCTACGTTCTCCTTGCCGGTCACCTCCCGTTCGACGATTCGAATATTCCGGCGATGTGCAAGAAGATCTCCCGGCGAGATTACCGGTTCCCGGAGTGTATTTCGAAGCCGGCCCGTTTTGTGATCCACAAGTTACTCGACCCGAATCCGGAGACCCGAATGAGCGTGGAGGGTCTGTTTGGGAACGCGTGGTTTAAAAAATCACTGAGAGTTGAAGCAGAAGAGAGAGTGTTTGGATGGGATGTTTATGGGAAGGGTTACGAAGGGAAGGGTTCGAGTGTGAACGCGTTTGATATAATATCGATGTCTTCGGGTTTGGATTTAAGGGGGTTGTTTGAAACGACGTCGAATAGGAGGGAGAAGATGTTCACGTCAAGTGCAAAGGTGGAGGTAGTGGAAGAGAAGGTGAAAGAGGTTGGAGGGGTTTTGGGGTTTAAGGTTGAGATAGGGAAGAAGAATAGTGCAATTGGTTTGGTGAAAGGGAAGGTGGCTTTGGTGTTTGAGATGTTTGAGATTGTGCCTGCTCAGCTGCTTTTGGTGGCTTTCACGGTGGTGGAGGGTGGTTTGGAGTTTGAGGAACATCATTGGGGGGATTGGAAAGATGCCTTGCAAGATCTCGTGCTTTCTTGGCACAACAATGAATCATGAATATGTACATACAGTGAGTGAGTGAGTGAATATCAGAATATGTACATTAGAATGGTGGTTAAATGTTTTCTCTTCTTCCTTTTGATTCCATAGCAAAAATTTGTGTTTTGATTGTTGATAGATGATGGTTATCTTATTGCAGCTTAGTCCTTAGTTATACCATTTTCCAGTTCCTACAATAATGTGAAAATTAATCCACCACCTTTCAGTTCATGGTATGTAAGATGAATGCTCTTGTCTTCTTTTTATGCATGCAAAAAAGGATTTAACTCCAACACCAATAAATATTTATTGATTCATATTTTACTTGATGAATTTTAGATAGATGTTTACATTAAATTTCGACCCGCGATGGTACATGTATATTTGCAGAGGAATTATTTTCCGAATTTGTCCGCCCTCTAATAAATTGTAAATGTTGATTGTAAAAAGTGAACATAAATCGAATTAATATAATATTCTTGAAAATAACACTTCTCAATAACTTTCTCAAGTCACATTTTTTCATTATATTTACGATGGTTACAAAATAATACAGAAGAAAATATCAGTCAAATATTTTATTCACTTTATCTATCTTTTAATATTTTATAAAATAGTGCAATTTCCGACAAGTTCTATGCTACTTTATCAATGTATATAGCCTATCAACTAGGGTGTGAATATAGGTTTTGACACGCGGGTCGACCCGTGACACGACAAGAAAATTCGTGTTCGGGTTGACCCGCAAAAAAATCCGTGTCGTATTCGTGTTGGGAAAAATGACACGTAAAAAATTCGTGTCGTGTTCGTGTTGATGTATTCGTGTTCGTGTCGACCCGTATTTTTTTAAAATTATTTTTTTTTTAATTTTTTATTATAATTTTTTTAAATTTTTTTAATTTCGATCCATTTTTTTAAATTTTTTTGTCAATTACCGTTTTGACCCTTATTTTACGTGTTATTCGTGTCGTGTCGTGTCAACCCGCAAAAAATTCGTGTCGTGTCAGTGTTGAAGATTTTGACACGAATAAAAATTCGTGTCGTGTTAGTGTTGATGTATTCGTGTCGTGTCGAATTCGTGTCGTGTCAACCCGTTTTGACACCCCTACTATCAACTATCATGCAGTAATAATTAAGAAGAAAATGAATTAGAGTTTCTGATTATTGAAGAAAGTATGACAGCTAACCCTCAAGGCAGAAGAGATCATTTTTCTTCTATATCAATGGAGTTTGTATGTTCATTGAAAAATTTTCTTACTTTGAAGCTATATTGAAACCCACGTGGGACAAGATAGGTTACAATAAGACATTTCGAAAAAATGTTATATTTTGACATTTTTTTAATATTAAATAATATTTTTAATTTATTTCATGTATATTATATTTAAAAAAATAAGTTAAACTTATAATATTTATCAATTTTGCAAAGAAACATAAGATATTCTAAATATTTATATTAACTCAATAAAATAGAAATCCTAATCCAACTAATCTAATAGTAATCTAATATTTTTTTTTTAATTTCTGCAATATATGGGAGTATCAGAAAATGTCGAGTATTGAAGAGTGTCAGACATGACCCGTCAGATTTTTTTGAAACATCGATGCATCGTACCTGTAAAGAGCACTAATGAATTTTTTTTTGTAGAAAAACTCCAGACATTTGCCTTCTTGTATTTATTTGTACAAAAAACATATGTGGTCAATTCAATCTAGGAGCATTATTGGGATCGCAAAGTGGCAAGGCCCTACCACAGAGCAAGTCTTCCAATATTTTCAACAGCTTCACAGCATGCATGATAGTTTCTTAATCAAATTACTGTTCACAATCATATAATTAATATTTGAAAGGAATTATCGTGATCTCTTTCCTGGATACAACAACAGCAAGAACTGCAATTTCTGTGGTGGAGGCCTGTAGAGAACCCACTGAATCAGTTATATTGCAAAACAGAGTAGCCAAATTGTGTATTCAAGCAACTCAAAATTAGAGGCTGAGTGGTGGAACCACCAAGCACCCGTGAAAGTATTTTATTTTATTTTTATATGCACAAAACATACTTAACTGATATTACTGCGCGCATGTGAATAGTCCCTCCTAATAATGTAGTTTTCTCTCTAATTTAAGTTTTTTTTTTCTATTGTAAAAAGTCAAGTTTTTTTTTTTTTTTACTACTCGAAGCGTTAGGCGAACGTTCAATAAAAACCATTTATGTTCCAATTATTCTAGGTGAAGCATAGTTAAGAGAAAATGTAGAGTTACTAACAGGGGTCTCAAACCTTTTAAAAAAGAAAATGATATATGAAGATTCTCAAATTAAAAAAACTATTGAAAATGGTATTTCTATACAAAATTATGAAACGTAAATCAAATACAATTAGGGTGTCTTTGGTATACGTTTCCATTTGAGTTTGATAGGGAAATATGAGTGGGTATTGAAAAAGATCATCTTTGGTTCAAGTTTTGAAAAAAAAAAGGCTAGCTAAATAGGAAGCATAGGCAATTAGATTTGTGTTGTTTTTTTTGCTCAAACTAACTATTCATAAATACCAAGTTAGTTTGAGCAAAAATAAACTTTAAGGAAACCAAGTTATTGATTTTGGACTCTCATTTTTAGGTAGTGGTTTGTTTAAATTTTTTTGATAATGGGGTGTTTTGGTCAATTCAACCAATTTTCCCATCACTATTTTACCTTCAACCAAACATAAACTTTGCAAATTTACATAAATTTTTCAGGTAATATTTTAGAGAACCAAACATCTTTTTTTAAATTTTTTTATCAAACTCACTTTCCTACTATTTCCCCATTAATTATGTTTCCCCACTAAAAAAAATATTCTTTACCAAATGCTCCCTTAGCGTAACTGTCAAATTTTGGCCGCAAATTTAAAGAGACATTGTTCATGATTGAACATATGAAAAATAAGGGGGTTTTGGCCGTTTGGTTTTTAAAAAGTTTGATCAGATTAAGTTCTTGATTAAACTTATTATCAGACTAATACAGAGAGACGTGACACATGATATGCCACGTCTAAACGTGGGAGTCTGTGTGACTTCGCCATGTGGCATGTAAAATGGTGTTTATGTTTATCGTTACACTAAAAGTGTTAGTGTGACTACCACGTTTAGACATGACATGTCAAATGCTCAGTCTCTTGTCAACACTAAACGCGTCAGGCACACTATCACGATTAGATGCGGTATGTCACGTGCCACATCTCTCTGCATTAGTCTGATAATAAGTTTGACTATGAGTTTAATCCAGTCAAACTTTTTGAAAAACAAACTACTACGATCAAAAAGCCGAAAAAGAAGTTGTGACTTGTAAGTTAATATTTTCTTATATTACATGTTTTAGTTTTAACATAAAAATATTTTTGCAGTTACTGTAGATAAGTTATCTGTATTTATTCCCAAAACGATGTCGTTTTGGGATTAAAATATTAAAAAATTATAATTATAAAGACTATAATAACTTTGAAATAAATTAAAAGTACAAAAATACCATGATTTTCGTCCCAAAACGACGTCATATTGGACTTACTGCAGAAAAAGCGAATCCAATTAATATATTAAACAAAATATAATTAATTCAAATTATATCTTCCACTTGATCATATACAAGGTTGGACCGAGGGAGGGGCTAGCATTGACACCGCACCTCCCTAAATTTTTATTATTTTATGCATAAAATAATATTTTTTAACAATAATAAATTATTAGGATTAATAGTTAGTCTCTCCCTAAAAAATATTCATAATAATTAGTATCTCCTATTAATTTTAATAATACTTATAATTTTAATATTTTATTTTCGTCTCTTGTTATAAAAAATCTTCAATCCGTCACTAACGACGCATTTCATTTAGATATGAAAGATAAGCCACGCAACATTCATACACATGTATATACGTAAGACCACTGGTGAAAGTGAATAGAATAATATGATCACATGCAAGAGTTTTAGCCAATCCTGATGATGGAGTACTCCAGAAGTTGGTGTTTTAAGTAGATTTTTCTTTTGGCTTTCATTTTGTATTTGACACTATTTATTGAAGATAGCTATGGAAATTCTTTGGGTCACATTTTTCTTTCGGTGTAGTATCTGAATGCTTCGAGCATGTTACATGTATATATATGCTCATGGGATAACACAGTTTGCTTCGGTGCCGACACTATAAACAAAGAAATCATCTTGAATGCTTCGCAGAAAGCGACGCTTTCGAAACGTCCTTACTTCAAGAGATAGACACGACATTGAAGATTAAGATATAAAAGGAGGAAAATGTGTACTTGAGTTAGTGATTTCAAGAACACTGATAAAATAAAATATTTAGAGTCTAGCTAATCCAATCTTTTTGCATATATACTCTTTCTTTTTAAGGTCAAACCCTTTATTGAGGATTAGATCTAAAGGTTCCCTTAAACAATAATTATGGCTTTAATTCACAAGGACAAATCTTGACAGTGAAGATTTGATCGTATCCTTTCATATTATTGTATATTACTCATACAGAGCATTTAATTCCTTAGTTGAAATTTTATTTTCCACCTATTTACAGATTAATTCTTGCATTTTTGTAAGTTTTCTAGTGATTTTTTTTTAAAAAATATATATTTCCTAGTACATTACGATATTCATAGTAATCGAGGTTATTATAATATATATGAACAAAAGGAAATATCAGGTAGTTTTATTTATTGTTGTAAGACCCGGCTGGGTCGACCCTCCGAAGAATCGATCATCAGACCGGTTCGGCTCAAACATTGAGCCAGTCATGCATCGATCCGGTCAAATCAGGTCAAAATTCGGATAAAATCGATCAAATCCGGTCAAAATCGGTGACCCTATGACCCCGTCGGGTCATGTATTTAAAAAAAAATAAATCAAAAAACCAAAATTGTTTCATCTTATCAGAAAAAATATAGAACTCATTTTAAAACTTTTTGTAATTTTATTTGCTAGTATATTCTTCTACAATGACCTCAAATTTTAGTTTTCAATACTAAAGCAATTTGAGGAATAATAAATTAGAGAATGTGACATATGTCATTTTAATGTAGTTGAATTTGAAAAATATGAGTTCAATGTCATTGAAAGGTATATTTATAGGGATTCTGAGTTGCAATTTAAATTGACATAGTAATAGCGTGCATTTTTATTTATTAAATGTTTTATGTTTTTGAGCTTATTTAGTGAACCTTGTTTAATTCATTTTAGAT